AAGAATTCCTCTCAGGTACTTTGGACACCTTGTCGGGAGGGACTGGTCTCTGGGAAAGGACATCTTTCTTGTCAAAGAATAGGGCAACGAAAAAACTGGGACACCCTTGAGTTGGATTGATCTAGTGGCTGCAACAGTCGACTGAAACATGGCATTTGTGAGGATGGTACAGGTACAGGCAGTATTTCATTCTGTTGTACCAAGGGTCACTATGAATCAGAACCAACTTGAAGGTACCTAATAATAGCAACCACACGGTAGGCACTTTTTTGGGAACTAACCACTCTTTTCCACAGTGATTGTATTTGCAGTTCCACCAGCAATAGCTAAGTGTTCCGGTTTCCTTAGATTGTTGCTACTATTTGTAATTTTCTGTTGTGTTTTTGAATTGTAGCCATCCTCACTCAACAAACAAACAAAAAACCAAACTCATTGACTCTCTAGGGTAGGGTAGAACTGCCCCGGTGGGTTTCCAAGACCATAACTCTTTATTGGATTAGAAAGCCTTGTCTTTCTTCGTCAGAGTGGGTGGTTTCAAACTACTGACCTGTGGTTAGCAGTCCAACACATAAACACTACATCACCAGGGCTCCTAATGTTAATGCAATGGTCTCATTGTGATTTTGATTTGCATCTCTCTGGTGGCTTATTTGTTATGAAATCTGTTATTCTAAAGTTAATTTTGAAGTAGTTTTAAAAAGCTGTTCACTGGGATAATTGATAAGCTTTAAATAGAAACAGCCAGTGGTGGTTTCTTAATTTGGTTATCTGATCCAAATAACTATTATATAAACTAATATTTATTTATTATTTTTAAAATAAGTAGCAGAAGTAAAAAGGTAATCTTTATCATTTAGAAAATGATATTTGAAAGACTAAAGATTTAAGACACTTCAAAAATAATGATCACTTAGAAAAAATTGTGGCTTTATTTCTAAATGTGAAGATTATATTTTTTTATATTTATTTCTAAATGTAAAGATTGAAATCTTTAGGTTTTCACATTTTGATTAAATGTGCTTCTGTGAGGTTTTCTTAGTATTTTCCTTAAGAATCACTGACCTCGATTCTGTCAACTTAAATCTTTTACCAAATTTGGATATCTTTTGGCTATTATTGCTTCAGATTTTTCCCCTTTCCATTCTTTTGGGATGCTAATTACTTTTTAGTACTGATCTACGATTTTTAAATCCTTTTCAGTTGTTCTTTAGATTGTTAATATGATTTTATTTTCATGTTCCTGGGCTCTTTCCACAGTCATCTTCATTTGCATGAGGCATATATAATATATTTTTAATTTTAGATGATTTTTCTAGTTTTGCATTTTTCAGTTTCTTCCTTTTTAAAAAAAGCAGTTTTTCTTTGTTGAGATTCATGCAGTGGTAACCTTAAGCTTATCTATTAATAGTTGATTTAACATTCTTGCTGATTAATTTCAACATCTGGGTAATATGTGAGTAGATAATGAGTAATTCTAAGGAATATGGCAGATTTTCCTGTTTGGTTGTCAATATCTTGAAGATGAAGCCAGGCAGACATTGAGTATATTAAGATTAAAATGATAAAAACCTTTAATGGGATCTACTCCAGTTACATCCTTTGGCCTGTTTAAATAGTTAATAGGTCTGATTAACAATGAGTTAATCAGTCAGAGGAGTTGCAATCGGAAGCAATAGAGACCTATCAATATGTACAGTTTTAGTTAAACTAGTCATGAGGAAAATACAGTAGCTCTCAGCTTGTGAGCAGTGCTTCTTACAAAAGATGAAAATAGAAATGGAGCTGTGCTGGTGCAGTGGTGAAAGTGCTCTGCTGCTAACTAAAAGGATCACCAGTTTGAACCCCACAGCTGCTCTGTGGGAGAGCAATGACAGTCTGCTTCTGAAAAGATCACAGCCTCAGAAAACTTGATGAAATAGTAGTCTGCCTTGTTCTGTAAGGCTGCTATGATTTTAAATCAATTTATGGAAACTTAAATAAAAAGATTACTGTCTTGCTTCAAGGGGGGGAGGGATCAAGTTACTTTCATGTAGTACTAGTCATTTGTTTTCAGAAGATTATTTTCAAATACTTTTTTTCAGTGAGTAATGATGACTTGTTAGTTGCTGTAGAGTTTGCTTTGACTGATGATGACCGTACATATGTACCTGTATGTCAGACCAGAATGTTGCTTGCTTCTGTACCATCTTTATGATCATGATACGTGTGTGGTTCATTGTTGCAACTACTATATGTTTTGAGTGCCTTCCAATCTGGATTGTACTCTTTCCAAAGGACTCTCAATATTTCTTGTAAGGTCGGTCTGTTTTTTACAAATTTCTTTAATGTTCTAGTTTTGCCACCATGCTTAAAAGACATTTTTACTGGACGTGTGGTCCTTTTTTCCCCCTCCCTCTAATGCTCCTGTTCCTTTTCATTATTTATTTTAATTTTATTATCAATTAGGAGTTAATACACATACCATTCCATAGGTCTGTTGTACCAAGTAGAATCAGTTTCCAATGGCAGTTCTTTCAGATTTTTTACATGTCATCATACACTTCTCTAGTATGGTTTCCACTGAGAAATGAGTGCTTAGTCATATTGTTTGGTATCCCTATGTTGTGATAATTCCTTTTCCCAAGCTGCTCTCAGAATTCTTTCTTTATATTTAGTTTTAGAAAGATTGATTATCTGTTGTGGTGACTTTCTCTTTAGGCCACCCATTTTGCGGTCCACTGAACTTTTTGAACAGAAACTCCATTTTTCATGAGACCAGGAAAGTTTTCTGTTAAGTTTCAAAAATTCTCTGTGACTTTTAATTTCTCTTTCCTCCTCTTTTGACATTTAAATTAGGTTTAAATTATTACTGGTAGTGTCCCACATAAATAACTCTTGGGCGTTTTCATTATTTTTTCCTCATTATGTCTTAAATAGATTAATACACTGCCACTGAGCCGAGTCTGGCTAATAGTGACTTTACAGGACATGGTAGAACTTCACCTGTGGGTTTCTGAGATTGTAACTCTTTACAGGAGTAGGAAGCTTCCTCCTCCTCCTGAGGAACACCTGGTGGTTTAAAACTCCTGATCTTGTGGTTAGCCACCCCTGTTAGACCAGGTTGACTAGAGAAACAAATTCAGCGACACTCATATGTATAAGAAAGAGCTTTATATCAAAGAATAATTGTATATTAAGAGAACATTTCAACCCATTCTAGATCAAGTCCATTAGTCCGATAGTAGCCCATAACTCCAATACTAGTCCATAAATCCTTTTTCAGACTCACTCAGCACATACAATGATACCAAACACAGAAAGATCATACATAGGTCAGTGGGTGCAAAGTCTTGTGGATCCAAGAAAGATTGGAAGAAGCATCTCCAGGGCTCTCAAAAGTCTCAGCGTGGCTCCATGCAGTTTGTTAACCAGAGGGTGAAAGAAGAGAGAGGGACTCTCCCAGGTTTCAGCAAGTCGCTGTGTGGATTGGCAGCAGGAATGGGGGAGGAGAGAGAGAAAGGAAGTTCCCAGAATCCTCATGAGAAGGCCATGCCTACAAGGAGGCATCATCAGTCCGTGACCTTTTTGACAGGCTAGGCTCCACCCATACACTTTATCAAGTTGACATGAAATTATGTAACTACCACACAGCCCAACTAACCACTGCACCACCAGGGCTCCTCTAAGTGGTCTCTATCTAGCTGATTCTTTCTTGCATTGTTTTAGTTCTACTTCTTATCTTTCCATTGGGTTATCTATTTCTGAGGTTTTGTTGTGAGTGTCCTCAATTTCTATTATTATTTTTGTGTGCTTTCTTAATGTCTGTTTATTCCATCATTTTGTTTTTGTATTTTTTTCTGAATTCTTATTATGTTTCACTTCATCAGTTTAAGGATCCTATATATATGCCTTTTGAATTCCTTATTAGGTAGTTCTATTACTATTTTTTTCAGGATTATTTGCCACCCCTTTATTTTGATCACTTATTTAGGCCCACTTATCCTGTTTGTTCATATGATTTGTTCTTGTCTGCTGCCTCTGAGGCATAAGGTGTTTATTTGTATCTTTAATTGGTTATATGTATTTATAGGTTTATTATGGCAAAAGGATACAACTCAGGATTGCCTTTAAGAAAGACATGCATGGGTGAATTTTGGCCCGGATTCTTGATATGGAGGTTTGGCACATCACCCTGGCTCTCTTTGTCAACCAAGAAACTCTCTGAGACTTCATGTTCATAGCTTTTATCAACCAGTCATAATTGAGCCCTCATTGTGCATGCTTGATAGGTTAACCAGTTCCTCCTGAGTTTAATTGATACTATGTGGTTTTACTGGTCTGGTCAACTCCCACGCATTAGCACAAATCATAAAATGGTGCTTAAATTAGTGAAATCACTTCAGACATTCCAAGGGATTAGAGTTATGCCTCAGGAAACAGGGGGCACATAAACACTTATATGCCTTTCCTAGGGATTGGGAGCATCTTGACAGGGAAGGTACTAAATGATAATTATCTTACCCTAAAATACCAGCTATTGCCACCTCCTTATATGGTGTCGATTCTTGTTAAAGACAGGCAGAAGAATAAATAAATTATTATGCAAGAAATATTAATTTACTAAATCCGAGTTGTTGAAATTCTCTTTGGCTCCATGAAATTCATTTTTACTTCTTAGACCTTTGTGTTAAAATATATATCTGTGTGATAAAATACATAAAATGTTTAACATGAGAATAATCAAGTCTCATCTTTGTGTTCCTGCTTTGTATTATTTCATATTATTGGCTATTCAGAAAATATATTTTTTCACCAAAATGTAACTCATCTTGAAGAAATATATTATTGTTGAAATTGAATCTATTTTGAATATAGTTTGATGAGATTCAAAAGATTTTTCTTCTAGCTTAATTTTTAATTGTAATTAGAATATTTATTCTGCAAGTAAGAAATACCTTGATACCCAATTTGCATAACATTTCATTATTCAGTAAGTAATTGACATTACTCTTTTGTTTCAGCTAAACCATTTACTTCTAAAGTGAAACAGATGCGATTACATAGAGAAGACTTTGAAATATTAAAGGTGATTGGTCGAGGAGCATTTGGGGAGGTAAGATTTTAGAGAAGTTTTCCTACTTTTCTTGAGAATTATTTTATACCACCACAGGAAGTTTAAATAAAATAGTATTTACTTGCTTTCATAAATAATATAGTGGACCAGGACATTTAAAAAAGTTTTAATGTTTCTTGATTTTGCATAAGCAAATGAGTGTTTCTAGACTCCCTCACTTGTTCCATTGGTTTGTTTCTCCCTCCTTGGGCCAGTATCACCGTGTCTTAATTCTCATATCCTGAGTGGTCATGAGATGTACTGAATGTCCACTAACTTTCTCTTCTTCTTCCTATTGCTTTCTTCTTTTCCATGTCCTTCTTTTTGTTATTGGCTCTCTATATTTTCATATAATTTTATAATTAATTTTTCAATTTTCATTCACCCACTTTTCTGTTGTCCATCCCCCAGGGAGGAGGTTATATGTAGATCCTTGTAATCAGTTCCCCCTTTCCA